AATGGTCCATATTAATGAATCTAATTAAGATTTAAAAATGAAAATCAATTACATTTGGAGATACTAAATGATTTTAAGTAGAAATAAATTTTTTCTCACCTTGTCAAACACAGCCACTTCCAGTGGCTTCCAGATTCTACATTTTCAAATGGAAAAGAGACTTGGTTTTAACCATAATTTCTGTGAAGCTCTTTATCTTGGCATCTCTTCACTTTCTTTCATTCCTTACAGAAATCCCACCCAACTCCCAATTGTTGATTAAAATGTTTTCCTATCTAAGTTATTAGAATTATGGTAACAGTCTTAAAGATCCAATGGAAAAAAATGCATATAGATTTGAATAAAGAATCTTATAAAACTGAAATATACACATTTCTTATGTCTTCAAAATTAATCTTTCTCAGACTTGAACCTACACATGTATTATGTAAAACAAAATAAAATAAACTCTAATTATATTACAGTTAGTATGTAAGAAAACAAAATGGTAAGTACTTGGGTGACTTTTGGTTACTACTTTAGATTTTCCACACCTTGAACAGAAGATATGTAAGAAAAATGTTCTATACCTGTTTCCTGAATATTTGATGCAATTTATCCAGTGCCATAAATATGAAGGATATGTATAATTTATCATGTCATGAAAAAGTACCTTAAAGCATCAAAACTACCATAGACTTAACTATTGAAAACATCTGCAGATCAGCAGGTTAATAATCTTCATTCTGCGTTTCTCTTCCAACACAAACTCTAGCTCTTGTCCAGGATTTATTAAATTGACCACTTTGTCTTGTGAAATGCTTCACATTCACACACTGAAATTTCAGTTGAGAACTGTACTTGGCAAAGAAAATGGCAACACTGAACTTTGCTGTGATATGGTAGATATCCCACTAAAATGAATAAACAAAAGAACCCCAAAAAGATAAACCTTTCTGCTCTTTTGTAATTCATATGCTTTCAAATTTGATGCAACCTTGTTTTGTGGCTGGCAAAATGCTTTGTAGTTACAGCTTTTGGGCTCAATAACTATATTGTAGTTTAGAAAGGCCAACCGAATGTAGTTAATTGTTGAATTGTCTAAATTAGTCTCATTTCTAACTGGAAAAGAGCCCTGGAAAATGTCTTCAGCATCCAAGAAACACAAAATTTTAATGTGAAACATTTAGAATAAATAACATTTAGAAAACATTGTTTTCTAAGATATCAGTTATTTTCAAATACTTTCTCTACTGAAATTTGCTCTGTATACCACCATTAATGATACAGTATCTTAATCCTCCTAGTAGATATTGGAAACTTCCAGTGGCCTATGATAGATCAATACCTGTTTGATGATAATTAGCAGTTTAGTCCAGGTGCTATATTTTGCATAAAACTGAACAACTACATTGTTGTCTGTCTCTCACATGGGGTCATGATGTCCTTGAGACCAGGAGCTCCATGAGCAACTCTGACATCTCTTATCCTATGTACCTCTGCCTAGGACAATCCCATCCTTGTACTCACACATTTGTTTTTCTTTAAATAGTCATTGGATATTTCTTAGATGTGAGGCGTAGTGCCAAGGCTTTTATTTTAGTTACTTCATATTCTCAAAACAACATAATAGCATAGGTATATTATTGTCCTCATTTTTTCCGGGTGAGGAGGTGAAGACATAGAGAAAATGAATTACTTTTATAAATATTGCTTTACAGGAATGATCTCAGCTGAAGGTAGATGAGAAGAATAATGGTAAAGATAGACCTAAAAAAGACATAGTTAAGGTGGATGATAGAATGCAACTCCCCAAATCTTTAAGACAGATCTTTGAAAGTTGTTCCTAGCTCAATTCCAGTTTTCATTCCCTCAGTCACTCTCTTATAGTATCTGTAATTTATTTAAAATACCGCTGTATCCACATTATGTATACAGTTATACTGTATAGAGGCAGGTAAATAAGATTTGAAGTGGTTCAATTAGAAATCTATGCTCCAAGAATGGTAAAAGTTGGAAGGATCCTAGTAAGGGGTCCCCAGTCCAGTACTTTCTAAATATGTCTCAGAGGATTGATCATGCAGCACAAATTATATTAGAAATTATTTTTTTAATTGGTGAAATAAGTTGTGCTTATGATATGGTTACATGGAATGATCTTTATAGATTATAAAATATGTGTATTTCTGTCACCTGCAAACATGAACAAAGGATATTAGACCAGACAAAAAGGCCTATAAAAAATGTCATGAGATCCTAATGTCCCATTAATTGACTCTATAGCAAACCAGGGTTAAACAATTGCAAGTTCAAGAATGGTATGACAGAATTTCAAGCAATGCTAGCACCTTCACCTGGTTCCCTTCTCCTTTCTGAGCATATAAATCAATAGTGGAGAACAAAGGAAGGAAAGTACAGCTAGGTGTTACCCCAGTTGGAGAAATCCATATGGATTTAGGGGTAATCCAGAGGATGTTAGCAGAAACATTGCAATTGTACTTCCAGATGCACCTCTGCAAATGATTATCATTAAATCTATGCTGAGTAAAAATAAATCTACCATGCTAAGCATTTATATAATGAAGAGGGAAAAAATGCTTTGTTTTTTATGCCATTTTATGTATATCTACCATTTGGCACAAATATTTCTATAAGCCTCTTTATAGTTGTGGGATTGTTTTTCGATTTAGGTACTTACTTATTCCAGGGATGTGGATTTTAATGGGAAATTAGAACTGCTATGGCTAGTACCAAAAAAAAAAAAATCAGTAATTCAGTGCAAGGATTCTCAAAAAATATCCACAATGGTTCAATTATTGAATATTTGAGGAAGGCTTTAGAATTTTGTCTTTTCTTTAGATAAGGAGAAGTTTCAGAGTTTGTAAGACTAAATTAATTCAATTTTCCCAACTAAGAACTCAGCACTAGAAAAAACTGAGATTCCCTTTTGTTTCTTCCTTCTAAGTTAGTGTAAAACATTTGGGAGAGGTTGCATTGACAATGTCCTAAAATGTCTATGAACTAGAAGATTTCATATCAACCTTCCATTCCTGTAGAGCAACCATGTTTCATCTCTGCTTATAAATTTCACTTTGTGTCAAATTCTCTGTAGACCTGGCCTTAGTTTCCGACTTAAAGTAGGTTGTATTAGGAGTCTCCAAAGTATCTGGAGAAAGGTCATACTTAATAGTCACCAAGTAAACTTGGTAAATTGTGTGACTATGAAAATGTATGAACATTGTATTACTGTGATAAGCTATTCCATCTGACAAGTGCCTGTTAAGTACCAGACACTCTACCACACAAGGATAGATATATAAATGTATTCTGGCTCTTAAAAAGAACACCTTTATTTGTTACCAGGAAAAAGGTTGAAACCAGAAGTAAATGAATCCCACCAAAAGAAGTGGGATGGACATAATTTAATCAAGTAAATGTCAGGGCCTCCCCAGTGGCACAGCGGTTGAGCTGTCTGCAGCCTCTACAGCACGGGTTCGATTCCCGGCCGGCCAGGGAGCTACCCACATGGCGTGGCAGACTTCTCCTATCTCTCCTGCTGCTCCCCTCAGCAGTGCTTTTGGTCCATTAGCCTGTTCTGTTCCCTGCTTGTCTCTGATGAATCCTCTCACCCTCCCGTGTCTCTGACCTGTACCCCAGCAATCATATAAATAAATAAATCTTTAAAATAAAGTAAATGTCAAATGCTAAGTTTTCTACATACTAGTGTACTCATCTTGCGCTATCTTTTTTTCTCTTTTTACTTCTTGGGGGGAGAAAAAAACTAAAGGTGTAAAGGTAAATAATTGAAAGCATAGCTTCTAGAGCAAAGAGTCTTTCCATAGGTCCCTCATAGGCTAGAATACTCTTCTAGAAAAATAAAATTATAGAAATGAAACTTAGAGCCAATGTGCCTTAGAGCCTCCGGAGTGGCACAGGGATTAAGTTTCCATGGTATCAAGCTATTGCCGGCCACTGTGGCATGAGTTCAAGCCCCAGCCAGGGAGCTACCCACAAGGCTCAGCAGACCTCTCCTGTATTGCCTGCTGCTCCCTTCAGCAGTGTATTTCAGTAGATCCACCTGTTTTGCTCCCCACTCTGTCTCTGGTGAATCCTCTCATCCCCCACACCTCTGGCCTTCATCCCAATTCTTGTATGCATAAATAAATAAAATAAATCTTAAAAAAAAATGTCCCACAGTTGGTGTGTCAGATTAATTTAAAAGGAAACAAAAGACAACACTCAGGATTCTAGCCCAGTAATCCAATCACAGCGTGATTTTTTTGCATGAAAAAAGTACCTGAGTTTTCCAATGCTAACGATTAGCCACATGGCCATTTAATTTTTTTTTAAAGTAAAGATTTATTTATTTTTATACAAGAACTGGGGTACAGAGCAGAGGTGTGGGAGGGTGAGAGGATTCACTAGAGACAGAGCAGGGAGCAGAACAGGCAGACTGATGAAATCCACTGCTGAGGGGAGCAGCGGGTGAGACAGGAGAGGTCTGCCGTGCCATGTGGGATTCTCCCCAGCCAGCCGGGATTGAACCCGCGCTGCAGAGGCTGCGAACAGCTTCACAGATCAGCGCTCAACCTGCTGCACCACGAGGGAGTCTCACCATTTAATTTTTAAGATATGAATGGGTGATAGATTATTACTGTCCAACTTCCTGGAAGAGGTATCTTTCTTCTAGTAACTTTCTGCTCTAAGCTATCTGTTCATGTGTTTCCCCTAGCTTATAGGCACACAACTAGCCTACTTTTCCCAGCTTTTCTTGAAGTTAGGTTTGACTATGTGACTTCTCTTGAAGACATGTAGATCCCTTCCAGGCCTGCCCCAGAGATTTCCTACAAGGCGCTCCACACACTCACCAATTTCTTCCACTGGCAAAATGCTGAGCTTCTAGTAATGCACAGTGAGGCTTTATATGATGCCCCAAGGTGGATAAATTGTCCCATAGAGTTGCCACAACAAAGTCTCACAGACAAGGCAGCTGAAACAACTGAGATTTATTGTCTCACAGTTCTAGAGGCAAAAAGCTATCAAGGTGTCAGTAGGATCAGAGCCTTCTGAGGTCTTTGAGGGAAAGGTCTCTGAGGGTCTCTGTGTCATGATGCTCTCTTGGCTTACAGAAGAATGTCTTCAGGTTTCATGGCATTCTGCCTATACGTGTGCCTGTATACAATTTTATAAAGACGCAAATCCTGCTGTACTAGAGGCCTGTACTCTTCATCTTCACCAATTACATTTGCAACAACCCTCTTTCCAAGTAAGGTCATGTTCTCAGGCACTGGGGCTTCAGACTTCAACATGTGAATTCTTTCAGCCATGAGCAACCACATGGAAGGCTACCTGCCAAAGAGGAACACCTGCATGGGCATTGTGTAAGAGTTTAGGGTTTGCTGTCACAATAGTGTCTCTTATCATAACAAGAACACCAACTCATTACACTTACCTTGGCCTTGAGAGTTACAAAGATAATAATCTACCTATCCATTTGCCCTTTTTTAGATGTAAAGAAGAAGGAGGAAGAGAAGAAGATGAAAAGAAAGCAGGAGAAAAAGAAAAACATCCAATCAACCCTCAGCTTCTAAACTTGTCATTCTGCTTGCATGGCCAATATTTGATGGCCCCCTTGGGTGGGTCCCCATCTGAAGAGAGTCATCCTTAGTGCTGGGGTGCCAAGAGAACGGACCTTGAAGTCAGAGCACCAAGGTTTCAGTTCTGGCTCTTCCCTAAAACTCAGCATGCGCTTAAAGGAGATCATGTTTTTCTTTAAGTTTTCATTTGCACAAAGAAAACTTGGAAACTCAAGAGTCATTTCCCCTATGACACAATTTTTCATAGGACTGGCCCAGTCCACTTGAAAAGGACAAGATATTTCTCAAAAGCCATCTTCACTGCCATTGCCCTGCTTTGTCCTCTATAACCCAGTGAACACCTCATCACATCAGTCCCACATTCTGGAGAGATCCTACCTCTGCATCAACCCAGGCCATGCTTAGCACCCAGAAACCAGGGAGGTTTATACCCACAAGGAACTGGCAGCTGCTGGGTGTCAGACTCCTTCTTGGGCAGCATATTCTCAGTAACTGAAGAGCAGGTTGTTGACAGTGGACTTTCTGGACACAGAGTGGGGGTTGCCAACTCCATATCACTTCAAAGGGGGATCCCTTTAGAACCTTGTGGTCAGTTAAACTTGTCTTGCCTGGCATTTCTTTCCCTTAATTACCAGCTGTGATAGAAGCTTCCTGGCACCTATGCTCATCTCCACTTTTAGTGCTTCCTTTCCCTTGACAGCTTTCCACTGCTCCTCATCCCTCATCAATTTTTCCCTACAGAACCTCTACTCCATGGCACGTACACTCCCTACCTCCAACCCCTTTACCTGATTGAAACTCTCGCTGGACCCAACACATCTTCTGTAGTTGTTCACTCTCACACAGGACACATGTCAGGGAGGTGGGGTTGGGGAACCAGGCAACCAGCCCCTTCCCCCTGCCACCCCCAATTCATCACTTCTCTACCATAATATAAGAAACCTTCCTCCTGGGAAGGTTTATACCATCTGGATCTGCTTTCAGCTACATGCTTAATTGCTCCACAAATGGCAGAAAGGACTAATTTTAGCATTTCTGTCATTTAACAAATCATAAATTTTGAGGCATGAATTAATCCCACTTAATCTAACTTGGAATCCTTGCTCTGCCCCTTACCAGTTAGTGGAACTTTGGAAAGTTATCTGACTTTTTGAACTTCAATATCTTTATCAAGAAGGGAACAAAAATACCTGAACAGAGAATGTTTTTATAAACTGTGTGGCAAAATATAGGTGAAAATCATCATAGTAGGCATCAAATATGCTCAAAAAGTTATTTGCTGATGACACAAAAAAACCAATTGTGTGAAGCAGGTTTGTCCATGAGATGAAGCTGGTGATGGGCACATAAGGTTCATTATATATCTTCTTTCTACAATAATAAAGTTCTAAAGATCTATTTATTTAACTGAATCTCTCTTAATCAACCAGAGGGAGATATTTGACAACTTCAAATGCCAATATTCATTTTAATTCATCTAATATTTATTGATGTTCTGCTAATCACCAATATCAGTACTAGACATCAGGAGGGGTTCAGAAAGACTTTGGGACATAATGATTCCTCCTTCAGGAAGTCAAATCTTTGGCAGAGGCAAGAAAAATGAGTAACACCAATATGATTGAGAAATCAAATCCATGGAACAGAATACATGTCTATGAGAAGTCTGCAGGAAAGGAAATAAAAGCTCTATCAATAAATCTGAACATTTCTAACCATCTGAATGTCTGGAGTTCTGCCAGAGGAAATATATGGATTTTTGACTGACTTTGAGGCACAGGTTGTCATGTTCTGTTCAACTTGGATTTTTTTTTTTTTTTTTTATATACCAAAGTAAAGGAAAGATGATGCTGAAACCTTGTAGGAGGATCTTATCTTGAATTGAAAGTCAGGAAAAGATGAAACAATAGAAAAGCATGCTTTAAGGACTTCACTGTACCCAAAGTCGGGCTGGTTGCTATCTCCAAGCAGACTGCAGGGTCAAGCATAGAGCTAATGGTAACACGATATGCTGGTGGATGCTGGTGTTAGACTGTTAAGGCCCTGTTGGTTTGGTGAAGAGATCAGTTTCGTTTTAGTCTAGTTTAAAGTAAAAATATGTCTATGTGCATACTTGTTTCATAGACTTACTTTAGCCTTTGTAAAAATCTTAGAGATCTTATCGAGTACTTATTACAAGTATTATCTGATTGGAGAATTAAGTGATGGTTCTGCTGAAGATCCTAATGTTGATTCTCACAGAATTTCTATATTAAGTGATTTATCAAAAAAAGTAATAAAATATTGTATATTTAGGTTTTCATAGAGATACTCTGAAATTACATTCCTTGGGAACCAGGAACATTTGGGACACTTTGTGCAGGACTATTTGTTATTCCAAAATTAGATCTCAAAATCAAATTTCCTGAAACACAAAGTCAAGGGGGTTGTAAATTTCAAATTTTGGCAGCTTGCACAGCACACAGGTATCTGGTGGTGACTTTTAATTTAGATCTTGGAAAAGGAGACTGCAGATTTGGATCTAATTAATCTCTTTCTCTTTTTTTAAACTTGTGGCGTCTTTTGAAGAGTAAATAAACTTTTGAGGATTCAGAAGACTATCTCTATTGTGGAATTACTTTCTCTGACTTCTCAGGGAAGCTGCTAAATCATTCCCTGTGTTCCGAGCTGCTGCCAAATCCTAGAAATTGCCCTGGTTTTAAGAAACAAGTCCAAGAAACCACAGTTTTTATCTGGAGAGGAGAAAGAAACGTATTTGGACTGAGCACACTTTACACACAGAGGTCACTGTGGTCGTGTATCAAGCATAGCAGCTCTGGCTGGTGCTTTCCTGGTATTGACTGAGAATCCTGCAGCACTCGGCCAAGGAGCTGCTTCTATTTTCACAGGACTACACTGAGGGTCATTCTGTGGCAGGCCTGTGGACATGTGGCTGGTGCATGGCTAGTCTGACCCCCCAGCCCCAGTGTCATGTCATAATGCTGTCATAATTTTAGTTTGCTGACTCTAGGTCAACAATTCAACAGAAGAGAAATAGTGAGGCTCTTCTCTCCTCCCCTGAAGTCATTTTTATTATTTAAAAGATCATTTGTACACAAAACATAGAAATGAGCCCTTCTTGGGATCACTTAAGGGACACCTTCCCATAATGTAAAATATTCTTTGTCCCACCCTACAAAAGCATTATTCAAGTACATTATTGAGAATTCCACTATTATATATTCACCCTTTTGCATTAAATATTCTTTATCTTGGTTCTTCTTTTTAAAAGCAAAATATTCCCAAGAAAAGGATGGCCAATTAATCATTAAGAATATAGTCTTAATAATCAATTACTTACATACCTTTCCTTTTCTCAGAAGGGACTAAGGACATCCCAAAATACTAGAAAAAGGGAGGATAGACTGTCTATTGGATTGTAGATTTTTGAGGGTACTGGGATAAGGTACCTGAAATGGAAAAGCACTGAATTTTAAGCCTGAAAACCTGTTTCCAAGTTCTATGTTCACCACCATCAAGTTGTGTAACTCTACCTAGGCATCTTACTTTAAGCCTCAGTTTCTGTATTTATAAAGAAAAAAATAAGGCTGGATATTAATGACTTATTTTACCAACCTCCCAAAGCTTTCAGATGAACTAACATTTGGGGGGATATTCATCACAGTTTCTCAGAAGTGGTTAGGAGGAGGAGCAGATTGTGGAGCAAGAAAGAGACACTTGGCTTACCTTGTAGTTTTGCTCCAGGCCATTTCCTTCCCTTAAATAACATCTTTATCTCCTACACACCAGTATGACTCCTTTTTCAGCTCTAACTGTCAGAGGTCTATAAAAATGCCATAAATTGAAAGGTTAAAAATGTTAAAAGTTTACATCCTTGGTATCAAGATTTCCAAAGTGTGTGCCACTTACACACTTACATATAAACAATACAGAAATTATGGTCTCTTCAGAACAGATGGTGAGAATACTAGGTAAATACCAGCAGAATACCAGTGAATAGAAATCCAAGCAATTCATTTTGGTAGGTTGAGTAACTCATGCTGAGTTACTTGGTTCCTCACCAAATAAAAAATGGACAAATACTGAGGTGATAACCAAATGGGACATTTGCAAGACGCTCAGCCCAACAGTGGACATCCTGGCACAAAGCACTCAATGTTCAACAATATTTTGAAGCAATAATGAGGCTAGACCCTCCAGTTCTGAATGTTTAATGTTGAAAGTTCAAATCCCCTACTCCATATCTTCCCTGCGGCTGAATGAGAAGTAAGTTTTTCTCAAATGTTTCCATAATGGTGTCCCAAGGCAAACTGTTTCTCATAAGCCGTCAAGGTGGCCCCAAAGACTTGAAGCTGCTCCCTTGAATCTGGCCCTGGAAATTCTAAAAGGCAGTTTAGAATGTAAGCATGTAACCAAGCAGCTGCAATCCAGTGCTGCTGGGACATTTGAGGCTTAACTGGGGCGGATGGATCTGCTTCCAAGTTCATTATGGACTGGCTCTTAAAAGAAATCTAGGAAGGTACGTGATTTTGAGGTTGAGTAAGGAATTTAATTTAGCAGAAAATGGTGCTCCAGCCTCTACCTTGCCCTCCACTCTGAGCATTACACTTGATAGCCTCGTGTTGTTTTGACTCAGGAATGCTCTAAAATGTGAAGTGCCTTGCTGAAACTGGCATGGGGTTCATACCATAGCCATCCTTGCTAGAACAAAGGAGATTAAATGTCTGTGTGACCATTGGTAAGAAAACCACTATCCCACCCAACCTAACTGAAGAGTAGGAATAGAATAGCAAATTTGTTTTAAGTGTTCCAACTTTGGGAGAGGAAGGTTTTCAAAAAAATACTTAAAAGAACCAAAAGGTAAAGCAGAATGGAAATCAATCTTTGGAGGAAGGAACTGCTCACCTGGGTGAACTTGGGGAGCACTTCTAGAAAATTGCTTTTCCAGTGAACCAAGTATAAATACCAGAAGTGTTAATACAGCTTTGTTTCAGGAGACTATTTAGAATCCCCACTGTTATAATCACCAGGCCCTGAATCTGGAAGGAAATGGCGATCTGACTGTCCATGTACTTAGCTTGTTTTGGGGAGACTTGGGACAATCTGGGCCAGCAAGCATAAAGAACTAAGCCAGCTGCGGAATGAGAACCCCCAAGTGAGGAAGACCTCCTGGGGGATGCTTTGGACTCATTGAGCATGATTGTCTCCCAATGAAATGCTGATTTTCCAAACTTTCTAGAGTTAAAATTATTTGGAAAAAATAAGAAGGCATCTATTCTTAAAAGAATCAATACCTGTTTTTACTAGTAATTAAAATTAAATGGCTTGGCTTTTAAAAGCTAAAAAGACTCCTTAAGGAAAAACAGAGGTTGTTATTTCTTGATTTCTATCAAATTTGTCAGTAAGACAGCATATCATTGAAAAAATTACAGAAGAGTGAAAGACCAAGCTGGAAAACAACTCTTTTACCTAGTGTCTTGCTGGAGGATTTTGAGTAAGTTCATCAAGAGTTGAAAATTCAAATAGGTTCTCTTCCACACTTCCTAGTAAGGACACCTGTAAGTACTATAAGCTGACTCTGACCCCATCTTTTATTTTCCTGGTTGATTTTTTTAAAAGACTGGTTTATTTATGCATACAAGAACTGGGGTACAGGCCAGAAGTGTGGCGGGTGAGATAATTCACCAGAGAGATTGGGGAGCAGAACAGGCAGATTGACTGAAATACATTGCTGAGGGGAGCAGGGGGTGAGGCAAGAGAGGTCTCTGTGCCATATGGGTTGCTCCCTGGCTGGCCGGAGATCAAACTTTTGCTGCAGAGGCTGCGAATAGCTTCATAGGCTGTGTCGTAACCCCTTGTGCCACTAGGGAGGCCTCATCCTGGTTGATTTTTACATGAGAGATTTATCCTTGGTGTCTGTTCCTATTTCTATGAAATCGTTTTTTTTAAATGTCTTTTTTTTAAAAGATTTATTTGTTTATATAAGAACAGGGGTATAGGCCAGATGCGCAGGAGGTTGAAATAATTCACCAGAGACAGAGTGGGGAACAGAACAGGCAGACTGACGAAATACACTGCTGAGGGGAGCAGCAGGCAAGACTGAGAGGTCTGCTGTGCCATGTAGGACCCTCGCCGGCCGGCCGGGATCAAATCCGCGCTGCAGAGGCTGTGGACAGCTTCACAGTACGGCGCTCAACCACCTGCGCCACGAGGGAGGCCCTCCATGAAATATTTATCCTGTACACTTAAGGCTTAGCCTTACTTAAGGATCTCTGTAAAGCCAGTTCTGTTAATAATTTGGAACATGTTAAAATGCCCGACCATTAGTACCAAAGAGATTTGTCACCAGCTCAATTTAAAATAATCTGGAAACTTTATATACTGAAATATTAATAACGTCACATAAAAATCTATAATTTATATTAAGATATTAAAGTAAAAAAGCATTAGAAACATTACATATGGTTATTATTAAATTTGTGTACAAAAAGATAAACAAAAATAAATCATAAGACATGGCCATTCTAAGATGGGCATGTTAACAATTTAGTGCATATCCACCCAGTTTTTTTCATTTCTATGACATATTTGGACATGCTGAAATCTTGTCAGATCCTTGTCTCATGCTGCATCAAACCTGTCATTATGACTGTTTTTCGAAATCATTAATTTTTCATAAAATATTTACAGTGTGCAACTTCGTTTCTGAGTTTTAAATATTTTATTTCTTCTTCCTTCTTTTGAAAGATATATCATTTTGCTTGAAAACAATGCTGCCATGAACTTTTTCTTTTTTTTTTTGCCTCAATTTCTAAACAAACTTTCCCAGGACTAACAATAAGGAGCAAAAGGTGCGATCCTTTTTCAGATTTATAACCCATAGAGTCACATTGCACAGTGCGACAACTTCTATTTGCCCTCCCTAACAGTTTGAGAGTAAGTGCCTATATTCTCACATAATAGTCTCTCTCTCTCCCTTTTACCTCTTTTGTTTTCTTCTTGAAATACATTTTAAGTATCCCATGACTACTTTGCATGTTGTGGGTTACCAGTGTAGATAAATATTTCTATCAGATTGATTAGCTATTGTAGCCACAGGATAGGCACAGAGCAGGTTTTCTCTGATCCTGCAGACCAGTAAAGGGGAGTCCTGGAGCCCTCAGTGGCTTTCTCAGGTTTTTAGTGAGCTCTTACGTGTAGTGCAGCAACAAGGTACATGCCAGGCAGAGGTGCCAAGGGACCAAGAGGCCAGCAGGCCTCAAAGCCCCAGGTAAGTCTTCACTCTGAGCTTCTCTGGTGTTCTTTCTCCCCGCCTCTCTCTTGACTCTGCTTCTCCTGGCAAGTATCTCCATGCTTCAGCCATGGCCCAAAGAAGTGAACTACACGACTATAACAATGTAACAAATTCAGGTGCCCCCATCAGGCAGGATAATCCTAATGGCTGAGGGCAGAAAAGCCTGAAAATCACTTACCCTACAACCATTTATAATCTTTTTCTATAAAATATTTTCTCAAGCATAATTTTGAGATTGTCTCTATGCGACTTTTCCTTTTGACGAGTGTTAAATAATTTCTAGGATGAGTTCTAGTAAATTTGTACATTCTTTTTTAAAATGATCAAAACGGACATGATTCCAGAAGTGAGGATTTCTCTAATACTCCAAAGTTTACAGGAAACATTTGATTCAATGATGTCACATTGTTTTGCAGGATAATTATGTAGCTGCAACGACAAATTCATGTACCAAATCTTGAATATTTTTCCTCCCTCCAATTATATTCATTGAGGTAAAGTTGGTTTACAGCATTGTGTTTGCTTTAGGGGTTGTAGGTTGAAACCTCTACAAATGTTTGTTTTACCCAGTGCCCTCCACCAAGTGCCCTAATATTCCTCCACCATGTTCCATTGGGCCCCTTTGTTTCCCTGCTCCCCTCACCCCCAGCAGCCTCCCTTCCTAGTTGCCTCAGTTTTGCAATCAGATGTCAAGCATTTGTTATTGGTTTGGTTTTGCCAGATCCTTTGTTTTCAGGTTTTCTCTATATTCTACCTATATATGAAACCATCCAAGAGCACTTAATTCAAAGGGATCTATGCACTTTTATATTTGCTGCAGCCCTATTTACCGTAGCCAAGTTATAGAAATCCTGAATCCCTTGTTCAATGAACCCTTAACACTTTATTTTGCAATAATATTTAAAAAAATCAGAATTTAAATTAAATTATTTTATATGCCACCTTAAAATCAACTTGGCTGTGAATTTTGGGAAAATCCTATCCACAGGTCATAATGTTCCTGTGCCAAGATAACTTGGCTGACAAATACTGGATTAGATTCAGACATAAAGGATGAGACTTTCTCTTTGGCACAGAATTGGCTGCATCAGAAAACATTCAAGGCATATGAAAGAGGAAAAGAGGAAACTATCAATTAAGAGGGACCACTTTTTATTTACTAAAATAGAGCTAATTCCCCCCAAAAGGCTTCCATTCAAAATGTTAGCCCAAATCATGTCTGCCCTCTGCCTGGGAGTCTGCTCTGGTTCCCCTGGCCAACTTAGCCTAGACTTTAGGTCCCACATACCTTTTCACAGCATCTGCCCTGCCATCTCCTTCCCCTTCATTCACTCTGCTCCAATCACCCTGGCCTCTGGACTGTCCCTGGAATGAGCCAAGCAAACTTCTGCCTTTGATCTGGCCTTTGCATTTCTTATCCTAGACCTCCACGGGGAGAATACTTAGCTGCTTTTTCTAAAACTTGCTTAAATGTCACCCTCCCATGGAGCTTATCTAACTCCCTTATTTAAATTACAATCTACACCCTGTCCTCTTGCATTTCTGATCCCCCTTACCTTGCTTTACTTTTCCCCACTTAACAGTATCACCTAATAGCATATGTAACTATTTATTTATTATGTTTATGGTTGGTCTCCTTGTTGGACTGTAGATTTCAACAAGGCAGGAATCCTTTTTGCTCATTGTGTATACCCCAAGGACCTAGAATAGTACTGGCAAGTAGTAGAGAGTCAAACAATAATTTGTGGAATGAACTTCAAACATTTCTAAAGGATAATACAGATGGAGAATGTGTCATGGATGGCATTTAAACCAGTAGCTAGAAGTATGTAATCTAATTTAGTTGTATGTCACCTTTTTGATAATATAGAATATAGTTCATATGCTGATTGAGTAAACATTGGCTATAAACTTTGTATCAGCATCGTGCTAACTGCCAGAGATACAAGAGAGAGAAAATACAGTCACTATCCTCAAAGAATGAGTATACTAGCAGCATCTACAGGGACAGGCAACCGAGTCTGAGTGAGAGATGGTGAGGAAAGACTGAGAGTTGAAGCAGGGCCAGAAA